GGGCATCAGATCCCATTATAAATGGTTGTGAGCTTTACCACTGAACCATCTCTGTAGCCCAACTTTAAATTCTTGATCCTTTTGCTTTTACCTCCCGAGTGCTAGGATTAGAGGTGTGTTTCATGTCATCAGGCTTTGCAGTCTTTAAGTGCAAGTAAGTGGTTGCAATGCTGTATATAGTATTAACCCTACAACTTTGATTTTAAACCTACATTCCTAACCCTCCTGTTACACTCAGTTCTCCAAGGGACTATGTTCTGTACTATTCAGTTCATATGGGGCCTGGCCCACAGCAGGTGCTTAGCCACTGCTGAACAGAAGAGCCAGCTTGATCAGTTGCAGAGATTTAAGCCCTCCATCCATACTGCCACTTGAATGCACCTGTGGATTATTTTATATCTACAATGTACTTTTCTTTTAATCTTCATTTACTGACTCTAGAACAGTAAGCACACTAACCTAATCTACAGTACTGTTAATACTTTCCCTCTTCCATCAGTGATCTTTAAAGAAAAATTAATGAGCTTTTGATAAGCCTGTATCTTCCAAGGTGAAAGTGAAGTTCCTTCAGTCTAACTTCAAGGCTTGGTGTGAGTGGTTCCCATCTCTTAACTCTTCTGGTTTTCTCCACAGCTTTGCTCAAGCCTCAGAATTGCCTTTTTGGCTAATGAGTGTCTCTCTCCCCTTTCATTTGGGACAGCCACCCTCTATAGTCCTCTACACATTTGCTCTTTATAGTGCTTAGCACAAATGAATTAAGGTTTATTTCTTTAGAAGGAATACATAGATCACCATATTCTGGTGCATATCAGGAGTTCAAACGGCAGATAAGAGAGTTCAGGAACGTGGAGAGAAGTCTCATAGGACTCTGAAATAGTCTGTGTAGAAGAACTTTATCTTAGTAAATGAAAGGAATTTTATACCTACAACATGTAGCTTCTCATGTGAGAACTGAGGTTTAGAAACACATTTTACTCTTTGGCAGTTCTAGTTAGTTAACACCTAGACTTTTCCAGTATTTATTTATTATGGGCAAGTGGAAGAAAAAGAAATTCTTCATATAATTTTACTATCAAAGTTGTAGTCAGTAGCCACTTAGATTATATAAAAATTCATGCACCTGTAGAGATGGCTTAGCAATGCTGCTCTTGCAAATGTGAGTTTAGTTCCCACCACCCCTATGGTGACTAACCACCTTATGTAACTCCAGCACCAGGGTATCCTCGCTGTCTTTTGGCATCCTTGGGCACTTGTCTACACACGGCATATAGCAGTTGCATAGCACACAAATAAAAAATATGGGATACCACTAGAGGATTCTGGGGACATCAATATCTGCACATTTTATTGTTCTATTTTTTTTTATTTTTTGTCTCTCTTGTGTAGTACTGGCTATCCTGTAGCTCATACAGAGATAATCCTGCCTCTGCCTCCTGAGTCCTGTGACTTAAGGCATGCACTGTCATGACTGGCTCAACCCTTACACATCGTAGTTTTGTCTGGTGGTGTGCATACCAATCACAAAGAAATCTCAGTGGCTTTGTCTGAAATTTCTTTTGTGTGACAACAGGGACCATTCCACTTTCCTGTGGAATGTTAGCATTAACATGAGCCTTTATACTTCATTTGCTAGTAAGAGTGTGGGCATAGACCTCTGTTGATTGTCATTCTGGCCTCTTCAAAAAGTCAGAAAATCATAAGGTATAAAATATGTGGAATTGGAAGTGGTACACTCTTATAAGCAAAGCATAAGAGGATGATGCAGGATGACAGAGGATAGCTTGGATAACAAATACAGCAAGATCCTATCTCAAAAGAAAGTGAAGAGGATAGAGAGATGGCTCAGCAGTTAGGAGCACTGGCTTTTCTTACAGAAGACTTAGGGTTTGATTTTCCAGCACCCATGGGGTAGCAGTGTCTGTAATATCCATGCAATGCCCTCTTCTGGCCTCCATGGACACTAGGTTTATATATGCAGACAAAATAACCACATAAAGTCTTGTAAAATATGTTGGGCGGGGTTATATAGCTTAGGGGCACCTGGCATGCATAAGGTTCTATGGTTGGTCTCCAGCACCTTCATCCAAATGAAGAAAATTTCACATGTAATCAGAATGTTCATGCCACCATTTCCATACAGGGACAGTAAACCTCAAGCAGGGTTTAGTTCATCATTTAGTTTTAATAAACAGGAGCTCAGGGCATATAAAATATTGATTAAAATAATTGCTCAGATTGTTTATTGAGGTTTATGCCTGCTTATAGTTTTAACACTTTGTGGGTAGAAGCTGGAGGATCAGGAGTTCAAGGCCAGCCTCAGCTATATAGCAAATTAGAAGCCAGTATGGGATAAATAAAATATCTCAAAAAAAATGAAAAATAAAAGTTTTGGGTTGGGGAATGTAGCTCCGTTGGTAAGGTGCTTGCATACTATACATGAAGCCCTGGGTTTGATCCACAGGTCTACATAGAACTAGACAGTTGCGTGCATATAATCCCTCAGAGGCAAGATGATCAGGAGATGAAGGACGACCTCTTCAGCTGTAAAATAAGCCTGACACCAGGTTAGGCTACCTGTGACCCTGTCTCAAGAACTAAAATAGTTATTTTTCAAGCATAAAAGACCAGAAGTCAGATTCCTAGGACTCTTGGAGAAGCTGGGTTCTTAGGTGAACATCAGAGATGGGGAAGGTAGGACAGGGACAGGAGAGGACACTAGGACTGGCTGGCCAGCTAGTTCAGGCAGACACTTACTTCAGTCTTTGTGCATGTGCGCACGCAGGCATGCACCCACCCACCCACATAGTATTTTTAAAAGAGCTGGTGAGATAAATATTTGCTATAGACTCCTGATAGCCTGAGTTTCACCCCCTAGGACCTATGGTGGAGGGAGCAAACAACCTCTGAAAGTTTTCTTCTGACCTCCACCTGTGTTTCTCCACTGGCACAGACACACACACACAGACACACACACACACACACACACACAAAGAGGGGCTGCACGGATTGCTCAGTTTTTCTGAGATTGGGTCTCAATACCTCAGACTGGCCTCCAGCTCCTGATAATCTAACTCTTGAGTGTTGAACAGGTGTATGAAGTGATTTTTTCTGATCCAGCACTACTGTGTTAGTGGCTCAGGTGTGGTGATCCAACCTGGAATCCTCTCATGTGAGGCATTAAAGGGGAAGGATCAGTAGGAGTTGAAGGAAAGCTCCAGCTACATAATGAATTCAAGACCAATGCGAGCTATAAATACTGTCTTAAAAACTAGCTCCCCTTCAAAACAAACAGACCCATCTTAAGAATTTTAGCTAAAGCCTAACCCTAGCAGAAATATTAAAACTTTGAGGGAAAAAAAAATCACTTTTAAAGAATTTTTAAGGGAATTTACATGCACTTGGGAAAAGTCTAGGGAACTGACCCCAGGCTTTGTGCTCTATATGCCTAGCCTCCATCCATCCATCCATCCATCCATCCATCCATCCATCCACTCATTTACTATTTTTGAAAATTTATGTATATAGATGTTTTGCCACATGCATGTTGCACCTACCCTTGGAGGTCAGAAGAGGACATTGACTTCCCTGGAACTGAAATTATGAGACAGTTGTGAGCCACCAGTATGGGGTACTAGGAGTTGAACCTTTCCCCTCTGGAAGAGCAGTCTGTTCTTTGTTGCTCAGCCATCTCTTCAGTGCTTTGCACTCCTACCCCCACCCCTAATTAACAAAGGATAAAACATCTAGGAATGATGTCTACTCCCAAAATTTGGGAGGCAGGAGTATCAACGCAAGTATGAGACTAGTCTGTTATACATGGCATGTGCTAGGTCAGCTAGGGCTACATAGGGACAATTTGTCTCAAAATACACAGAGGAAAAGGAAGAGTGATCGAGAGAGTGTCTATCAAGCCTATCAAGGAAGGTGTTAACAAACCCTAAAATGTTTGTTCTTTAAAAATGTTTTTACTAAGTGTATGAGAGTGTGTGTGTGTGTGTGTGTGTGTGTGTGTGTGTGTGTGTGTACACTGTTTGCCTAGTGTCTGATTAGGTCAGAAGAGGGTATCCGATCTCTTGGAACTGTGGGTTCGGGAACTGAACTGGGTCCTATGCTTGCTCTTAATCACTGAGCCCTCCTTTCCAGCCCCTAAAAAGTTCATTCTTTACACTGGTCCAGAGCAGTGTGGTGTTAAATTCAGTACACTTGACAGGATTGAGGAGCTACTCTAGGATAGCCTTTTTATGATTCTGGTTTTCCATGGGGCTTCTATCACTAGTACTTTCGCTCTCTGGGTGGGTTAATCTTTTAGCTGTAGAATAGCTCTGGTTATTTCGGAGAAATGAGCTTGACCAGATACCTAAGTGTCCAGTGTTTCAAGATTGTAGCTAACCTCTAAAACCATATTGCTGTGCTCATTTTTTTCCCTATATATTTTAGGCATTCACATATTTGAATTTTGTAGCTCAAGTACAACTTAATCAGAAAACACTAGTGGTAAATAATGGTCATTCAGTTAAGAAAAGATTAAGAGTTAGAAACATTTATTTTTTTCAAAAAAAAAAAAGTGGGAGGAGTGGAATAAAACAAGGCTAAATTTCAGCAAATGCTGTACCACGATCACAGGTCAGACAAAACCAAAAAATAAAACAAAATCAAACCAAAACAACAAAACCCCAATGGTCCTAGCAACTTCAGAAGACTAGCTTCAATGTTAAGAGTCCAGAACTAACAGAAGAGTTAAAGGCTGCTTGCCACTACATGGTCATTTTTAAGGGAAAGGAGATGCTGCAGGAAGGCAGGGAGAAGGGCTCAACTCCTAAGGAAAGCAAGATTAAGAGGGGCTTCCACTGTACAGGGAAGGTGGGGGGGATGCCAGCATAATCCTTACCTAGGGCTGTTCAGAGGCTGAGAATATAAGGAACAGAGTGAAAAGCTACAGACAACTAGCATCAAGGAAAGAAATGTCAACTTAGAAGAATTAAATTAAGAAAGAAAACATAGTTGGTCACAAATTCCTTTGTTTACTGAAACATGAAGCAATGGAAACATCCTGGCAAAGGGGACCACGAGGACCAAGTTCTCATATATGACCGCAGCCCGAGGGTTCAGTCCGCAATTATCCTACCTGAAAGAAAGCAGAACACAAGAGGCTTACACAATGCCTGGAGTGCAGTCTGGTTCCGAGTACAAGAGCCCTGGTCCCGTCCTGTATTCCAGTGGGGGGGGGGGGTGACACAAAGAACAAAACGAAGTCAAATCAGATTTTGGGTTGAATGTATATCCCACAAAATCACCCCAAAGTCTAACAGGTACAGCTAGGAACCTACTTAAAGCTATATATATGCTGTACAAGATACAAAACTGCTGGTGGTATAAACCCGGCATTCTCCTATCTTTTAACTCAGGTAACCCCTATGGTAGAAGGCTTCAAGGAAGGTATAATAAATTTTCAATAGCTACAGATTAATTTTGGAAAAATTAATCTGAAAAAAAAAAAAGCTACTGAGATATCAGATAACAGTCAGTTTCTTTTTTCTAAGAGATGGGATCTTAGTATGTTGCCCAATATGAGCATACACTTCTGTTCTGAAGCAAATCTGAATAGCTAGGACTACAGGCATCCACCACCCATGCATGCCCAGCCCAATTTTACTATTACAGATGTTCCAAAGAAAACATTCAAAAAACATAGTCACAAAGAATACTGTTAAAGAGCAGTTGGTCATTCATCCTTTAAGGTATCTGCATGTCACACTGTCACTTCAGAGCCATAGTTGCAGTAGTTTCCCAATTGACCAAATAACCCTTGACAAATCAAAAGAAGAAACTACTGCTAGGACTGTCTAATTCCTCCATTGATGGTTGGGAACTCCAGACACCAATGGCAGGGAGAAAAAAAAAATTAACTCACACCAAGCTCCTCTACTTAATACAGACACAGGGCCAAATCTTGGTCTTGATCTGTGCCAATCGACTTCAAAAGCTGGGATGTTCTTGGATCAGTTCTGTTAGGGTGAGACCCGAATTTGGATCCCCAACAGTTGTGGAGTATTTCATCCTGGCAGCCTCATTAACATCAGGCTCCTGGGACTGCAACCAACTCAGGGTTATTCAGTCCATTTGAGGTTCACACCTGGAAGGTAAGTTTCTTTAAAAGTCATCACTAAAAAGAGATTAGTTGAGCACCTACTGATTGAAGTTAAAATTCACTTAAAAATGTCCTAAAACCACCCTTAAAGGCTATAATAGAATAACTTAATGTTTAACTTTGAAACATACCGGAGAGAAAAGTTATCTAACAGATTATGCTAACTTTATCAGAGGTATCTCACAAAATAGATCCAGGTGTAAAATTAGCAAACTCCATTCACATGCTGAACATATGGCTGAATGATGGTTCTAAGAAGTCCCAAGTCTCAATGATGCAACTGAATAGCATATAAACTTAACAAAACATGCATGCCATTCTTTTCTTTATATATATGTATGCAGGGTAGTGGTAACCGTACTGTTGTAGCTTTAACTCAAGTAATGCTCAATTTCAATGTACAAGGAAAACCATAAGAGAATTGTAAATTATAAATGCCATTTCCATTCTAGTGAAATTTACTTGTCTCTGGATATCCCCAATTCTTGCCATTCCAATACTGTATACATTTCTTGAAATAGGGAAACATTACTACTAAAATAGTATTTTACTATAGTATTTTATTAACAATCTGGAAACCCTTAAAGTTAGTTAAAACTCTCACCGTGCTGTCCATTACTAGCTCCCAAATATACCCTTGCAGCTTAACCATCACAGCAGTGTAGTAGTGGAGAGTATGATTTTATTTTTGGTTTTAAAATACAGGGTTTCTCTGTGTAGCCCTGGCTGTCATGGAACTTTGTATATCAGGCTGGCCTCAAAAATCAGAGCTCTACCTGCCTCTGTGTCCCAAGTGCTACCATTGGGTGTGTGCCACCTTACTGGCCAGAATTTAAGAGTCAGCTCTGAGTCTGAATTTTGGCTCTATCATGTGATACCAGATGATCATAGGCAAAGTACTGATGCTCTCTGAACCTTAGTTCTTTCCTGGATGAGAAAATAATTATTTACACAGCAAAGGGCCAATATAGTAGCTCTCCCTACCTTTTTTCTTCATATCAAGTATCTTCACAACTGGTTAAATAATATTCTCACTGAGTATGTTCATGTTTCAGAAGTAACAGATTGGAACTCAACAAGCCAAATAAACCCTTGGCCTAAACTACAGAAAATACCCAAAACATACAGTTTCTGCTTTTTGGTATGGTCCTGTTTGGTGATTTGGCTCCTCAGTGAAGCAGAGGTCTCTTGTAGGGAACTAAGTGCAAATTTCAACCACATCCACCACACTCTCACCTCCAGTTTTTAAAAGGCTGAGTACCGTGCTCGGTCCACATACTGCTCCCGCTCATACCGGGCCATGTCATACAGAGAATTTCGTGTTGCTGCTGAAGCCTGAGACATCTCACTCTCTGGCCCATAACCGTAGCCCTCTCCAACTGCGGGGAGCACAGCCGCATTCCGACGTAGTGGGCTCCTGTCCCTTCCATAATAGGAAGAGGAAGCGGCAGCAGCCATTGCAGCTGAGGTGGCAGCAGAGCCAGAGTTCTGCAATAGGTGTCTGTCATAAGGATCGACAGAAGTGGAGTTGAGGTGACTGGGAACAGCTGAGCTCTGGACTTGAGGAAGATGAGACATGGTCTGCTCTGCATAATTGTATGCGGAAGCTGCAGCCGCCGCCGCCACAGCTTCATAAGATCGGACGCGGTAGCGCTTATAGTAGTCGAGTGCTCCATAGGCATCGTTGTAATACATGGACTCCCCATAACCCATAGTATAAGGCGTGCGCACTGCTCCATACTGTTCATTGTACTGCTCAGTAAAGTCTGCCACACGCCCTGTACGGTCTACTGGGCACTCTTTAGACCAGTGTCCTTCTTTACCACACCGATAGCAACCACTCTGGTCTCCCATCCCAGGGGCAGTCCGAAGCCGGCTAGTTGACAACTGTACATGCATTCGTTTGCCTTAAGGAAACAGATTAAAATTATTACTAATTAACAGTCTTTTCACTCAAATCAAACATAAAATATATAGACATACACATTCCTGGGCCCCTTCATTCAGCAATTTTTTCCAAAAAAGTGAAACCCAGAAAAGTAGAGTCCTTAGAGATCAGTCAGATTCTGTTTATACCAGTAACATAGGAGACCCTCCCCTACTTGTATCTCCACAGTTTGTCTCCTTCCCCAAAGATTGCTACCTTTTACTAACAAAACCTCACTAATAATAAAACTCATACAACTTGTAGAAGACATCTTCTCTACCTCTGAATTCAACTCATGTTAGATCTGAGAAAAGCATATGCCCCTTAGCATGTCTGTATGGCATCGTGGTCAACAGCAATCGTCTATCCACTATGTTTCCTCCAGGAACTTGTGTGTTATGTTGGATACCCAAATCATACTTGGCTTATCATTAGCTTCATCTGTACCTGTGGAATTAAAAGACTGTATAGAGTTCAACTCCCTTTCTCACAAGGCAGAACTATTTAAACAAAGCCTCTTAGAATAGATGTTAAAAATGACCAGGTTCTAGGGTTGATCATGCATCTCTCGATAGTTTAACACTTGGCTACTGTATGAAAGGCCAAGGTTGATCTCTAGCACCAAACAAAACTAAAATGAAAACAGCACTAGCTTTTTAGGAACTGTGTTCCTAAAAACATGTAGAAGAATGATCAGCATTTTATCCAACCATGCAGAACATAATTCTTTACAGGTATTTCTCTACAGTTGCCTAAAGAACTATAAACACCCGGGCTGGTGAGATGGCTCAGCGGTTAAGAGCACTGACTGCTCTTCTAGAGGTCATGAGTTCAAATCCCAGCAACCACATGGTGGCTCACGACCATCTGCAATGAGATCTGATGCCCTCATATGGGTGTCTGAAGACAGCGACAGTGTACTTACATATAAAAAATAAATAAATCTTTAAAGAACTATAAACACCCATTCAAGCAATACAACATACACATACTTCTAGAAAATTACTACTGATAAACAGCTGAGAAAAGAACTCTTTTGCCCAAGAGTTTATATACGACCCAATCCAGAGACCTTTGTCTCCCAAGATGAAACCATCTTTAGTGAGAATGAAGATGCTCAGCCAGGCTGTGGTGGTGCATACCTTTAATCCCAGCACTCAGGGATCAAAGCAGAGGCAGGTGGATCTCTGAGTTCAAGGTCAGCCTGCTCTATAAAGTGAGTTCCAGGACAGCCAGAACTCCATAGAGAAACTCTGTCTCAAAACAAAACAATGTTCAAGCTTATGACCCCAGCTGCTAGTAGACAGTCTTCATCATAACCACTGATGCTGTCAATAGATAGTCGGTGTTAATTCTCTGAAAGTAGCATGTGCTACATGTACTCATCAGAAACATTTCTGTCCTCATTTATTCTTCATATGTAAAGTTCTCTATAGTGGAGAGGATTATAAGCCACTTTCAAACAGACATATATAGTGACATTGAGCTGTGTAACTGACACATTACTCCAATTCTGAAGTCAGAATAACCACGCCAATCTAGAAAGAAAACTCTCTGCGTTGGCCCAGAGATCTAGAAGTCTATTTTTAAGGAGGAAAATATAATTCAATTTGTTGTTGACTTGTATGGATTCTGACTAAATCCATTTTCCATTGAAATACAGTGATTTTACTTGATGTCTCTGCCTTACCCTAGTCATGCTTTTAAGTGTAGAGTACGGAAATGCTTTAAAGTGGCAAAATCTATTTCTACAGTTGTGCAAAGGATGCCAGTAATTTTTTTTAATTTTTGACTTAGAGCTAGAAATATCTCTAAAATAAACGACAGGTGGCTTTCTTGTTTTACATTCTTTCCAAAGGTTACATGGGCTTTCAATTTAAAATCTCTAAAATCCTGTGCTTTAGAAACAGGTAAAAGTTTTACCATTCTACTAGTGGTAGATTTTGCAAAACCTCCAAGTTATTGATATTTCCAATATTTACCAGAAGATCAGCCCAGAAAAAGCATTTTCTCTTGAAAACTGGAACAAAAGAGACTTAAAATGCTAAAAGGTGGGAAGCTTAATCCTAATTCTAGAGTTCTATCTTAGGTCAGGGTTCACAGAAGACTGGAGACGTAGGTGACATAATGATCCATTGATGTGTCACTGAAACAACACCCCTAAGTTCTTGCATATCCTTCCCAACTCAGCTGCCCGGATGGTTACTTGGGAACAGCTTCTTTATGGTTTCCAATTCAAACTGCATTCACTGCTGCCTGTGGAGAGGAAACATCTTGAAAGACCCAGGTAAACTTAGAAATTTTAAAATATTAGACAACCATTAATACACAGAAGTAAAGATTCAAAAGATGCTCTAAGTGGCACTAAATGCCAAAAAGGCATTAAGTTGAACAAAATGCCAAGTTGGCATCTCAATTGTAACTTCAATAAGATACGTTGACAGGCTTATGTACAACCCCAGCACCAGGAAGTCTGAAGCAGGATTGTGATTTTGAGGGCTGTCTCAGCAAAGAAACAAACCAAAAAACCCACAGTGACCCAATACTAAACTTTACATTACATCCTAGAAAAAATTAGCTGATTGCAAAAATATCTGCATATGTAAGCAAGAGTAAATCACTCTTCAGAAGAGCCAGAAAAAGAATGTGATACCAATAAATGATTCTTTTTCAACTCAGTTTATTGTCTGTACTTTCTATGGAAGTGAATATATATATATATATATATATATATATATATATATATATATATATAAAATACGTCCATTGCATTATTCAGTTCCCTGTTTCTTATGTAATTTTATCTTTTATTAAGCAAATACAAGGGATAAGAAGCATAACTCAGTGGTACTGCGTATACAGCATGCTCAAGACCCTGGATCCAATATTCAGCACCAAAAAACAGGCAAACAAACAAACAAAAAATCCCTTTTAACTCTCATTTCCTTTAGAAAGTAAAAAGGCATATACATTGAGAATTTATCTGAAAATTTAGTACTTTTTTTTTCCATTGTTACTTACTTCAGGAATGGGAACATACAGACTCATGGTAGAGCACTTGGCTAATATTTGTGGGGCCCTTGGATAACCCCAGAACGGAGAGGTTGGGGCAAGAACTCCTTCCTTATTCTCCCCTGTCCATTCATGACCTCCTTCCATATCAATTGAAAATAATTAGGAACGTCCAAAATAAAAGAAAAATACAAATTAAAGAAAAAATTTAACTGTCACATTTTAAGTACTTTCCTAACCAGAGTAAAAGCAATCATGGTTGCAAATAGCACTCAACTTTTGTTATATATTGCTTTTATTATCAAAATGTACTTATTACCTCACTGCCATCTTTTCACGGAGGCACATGAGAGAAATTAGCTACAGCCTTTACCCTAGGCTTTCAATAACTGAAGCCCGGGATATTAGTGATGAAGCTAGAATACATGACAGTAAGCCTCCAGTAAGCTCTATTTGCATATTCACACTTTTCTGACTGAGTTTCCCTTTTCTCCACCATTTCATTGTTTTCTAGGTTTAGCAGGAGGATCTTTGTATATTTAACTTTTAGGCCACAAAAGATGTTGACTTAGGGACTAGAAAATGAGCCTTGAATTTGTGGTCCAACATGACTATCAATAAAAGACTTTGTAAAACTGCTAACCAATGAACTTCCTGCAATGGGGGTCTGATATGTTTCCTAATTCAGTAGCCATTCCTTCATATGACTCTTGCCCACACTGGAAAAATCTAATTTGAAAATTTACCTCAATTAAATTTAGTACCCACACGTAACCAGTGGTTACTATAGTAACACGATTCAAGGGTTTTCAGACAAGCTGTATTAGTGATAATACATACACACTTATGATCAATATAAGCAATACAGTAAGCTCTATGTCCTCGCTGGAATTTCCCCAGAAGCAAAACCATCATTCCTATCCAATTCCTAAAGAAAACATAATTTTTTTTCTTAAGCTGGTAAGAGTTAAGTAATAGTTAAATGGAGCAGAAGAACCTATGACATGTTTCCTGGCTTTACTTGTAGTCCACAGACTGAACAGATTTGAACACCCCCAAAATACCCATCTACCCAACCAGATTCACCACAGATCCTCAAACAGCGCTTCCTCTAGATGCCCTTTTTTCCTCTTTCCTACCACCATCCATCATCGAAAGCAGCAAAGTGTAAAAACTCTCAAAGGCTTCTGGGTCACAACCAACCAGCAACGAAGTCTTAACTTCTAGCCATTCTCACATTAGCTACTTGTCTGCCTAGGCAACTTTCTCACTCAAGTGAATGTCGACCAAAGAAAGGAGCCTACACAGTTGTGGAGAAACATCTTGGCAGACACAATGGAAAGTGCTTGCTTCCCTAAGAGTAAATTATGCTTAAGAGTAGTAAACATAATCTATTCTTTTCATAAAAGAATGGTAGAAGCCACTCTCACAGCCCCATGGTCTTGTGTTCTTGCTTCTGCCTTGAGCTAGATTCCACGAAGGTCTGCCACCCAAGCCCCAGAACAGTTCACCTTGAAACTCTGTGTTGTCAAGGCCCCTGATGGCCTCCACCGCATCCTCTGCCCGCTCCATGTGTACAAAGGCATAATCTTTCACGATGTCACATTCGATGACTGGGCCGTACTCCTCAAACTTGGCCCGAAGCTCTTGGTTGGTACAAGTGGGACTGATGTTGCCCACATGTAACTTGGTTGAAGCTTTGCTCTTATTCTTGCTGGCTTCCACATTGATGTTCACTCCGTGCAGCTTGTAATGGTGCAGGTTGCGTATGGCATCCTCAGCGGCCGTCTTGTCCTCTATGTGCACAAAGCCATAGTTCTTAATGATGTCACATTCCAGCACCTTCCCGTACTGCTCGAAGAGTGAGCGGATCTCCTGCTCTGTGGCCTCCCGGGGCAGATTTCCGATGAACAGCTTCACCATCCTGACAAGAGCCTGGCAGAGAAGAAACAACATTTCAAAAGTCAGTGTGAAGTGAGAAACTGACTAACAGCATTCTTGACCCTCACAGTTAATTCTTTTTGAGAGAGGAACTGCTATGTGAGGAACTGCTATGTGACAATGCTAACAGAAGGTCGGGGGTCAGAATGCACAAGGTGCAAGATACATACGCGTGAGGTCAGGCACATTTAATCTTACAAGGTTAGCTGCTTCACGGTTTAGCTCAGGGATGGAAAACACAAGCGGGAGGCATGAAGTAGCTGAATGTCCCTAGTTACAGGATTTTGGAGGGAAATCTGTGTACCTCTCCACAACACGGTATCACCTCCCACTATACTCCAAGAACGAAAGCCCTCCTTCACTCAACACCTGGACTCCTTTCCTCAGCGGCCCAACCTCCGCTCCTACATCCCAACAAAGACTCGGCCCGACCCCTGCCCCGCCCCCTCCGGAGACCCGGCCCCGCCTCCTTTCGTTGTCTTCCCGGGACCTTCCTCAGAAGATGAGTGGCCCCCAAACCCGATCCTTCCAGGCCCTCCCGAGGTCCGGCCCAGCCCACTCCTGATCTTCACACACACCCACAGCATCCTCTCCTACCTCCGGGTGGTGCCGGCGGTGGCGGCGGGTCCCGCGTCAGAGAGAACCCTACAAAATGGCGACGGCCGCTCGAGCCTCGGCGCGACCGGGCGCTTTCTCGCGCGCCAGCTCACGCACGCGCGAGTGCGCGCTGCCTGCCTCCCCTCCCCCTCGCAGGAGCGGGGCGACCAATCCTGCGGCCGCACACAACTGTCCGCCCCCCGTGCGGGGGCGGGGTCATGTGGTGACGGCACTGCAGGAGCGAAGGTCAGCCCGCCCCCAGCCCCGGCTAGCCAATCACTGCCTTGAGAGGGGGTCGCGGCTTGCGCGTCAAAAGGGCTCAGGAAGCAACCATTGCCTTGGTAAAACCGTAAGGCCCGGGGGAGTCTCTAAGCATCACAATGGATCGTGGTATCAGGCGCACTGTCGAAGGGGCTGATGACAAAGGGTTGTCTCACTGGGCAGGGGGTTTTCTCACCCTCTGGCAGCTGAGAGCGATACTTCAGAAATCCAGGCACTACCACTTCTTAACCTAATCTCTCCCTTGTTTGGGTGGGAAGGGGTAAGAATTCCCTTAAAACAATTTAGTTTTCACTGCAGTAGTGTTGTTCATTGGTGAAGAAGCTGAAACTGAGAGTCGAGGCGTAGAAAGATAATCTGTGTTAGAACTGGGTTAGGTCTGAGGGAGGCATTTCTCTATCTAAACTATACTTTGTCATGTTTATTCATGAATATACGTGGGCTGGGCTCTCCCTCTCTCGTACTGTCTGTCTATCGTGGTTCCTGAAATATGGTGTGCCATTACCAAGGAACACATTGTCCAGAGGTCCAGAGCGAATCCAGGTTTTGGAAATGTGAGTGACAAGGGTTCCACATCCATTCCAAGCTGCCTGAGGTACAGGCAATTGTCAGGATCCCAATTCTCAGTTGCGGTCCAAGGGCACCTCCTGGTGGCAAGCAGGGTACCAGCTTGATGGATTACTCACTATCTCATGCAACTCAGGAGAGCCGGTTTACAGACATTGATGGATTGAATTTCTCTCCTAGTAGAGACACCAGGATGGTAATCATACCATCCCCATTGTTGTCAAAACAGTTCCCATTGTGGTAGTTCCAACACCTGCTCCTCCAATAATACAGGGACCAGTTCCCCAAGTTGACTTCCTCCACCCAAGCTATTTGGAAACATTTCTTTACCAAGTCCGTGTTTCCCACTCATTTCAAAAGCCATTGTCTAATTGTAACAACAGACACATTTTTAAAATTAGTGGGGTTTTTTTGTTTGTTTCCCTAGATGGTGTTTCTCTGATAGTCTTGGCTGTCTTGGAACCTCCTCAGGGTCTGTTATCACTCAACCTTCTACATTGTATTTTGGGATCTGTCATCTTCCCAAATTGGCGGGGGCTCTACAACTAATGCTCCACTGACAGTTCCCATCTTTCTAGACAATTTCATTTTACTCCTTCTCCTCCCCCCTCTTCTTTTAGATATGGCCTTTCTTTTCTTTCTTTCTTTTTTTTTGGGGGGGGATGTGTTTGTTTGTTTGTTTGTTTGGTTGGTTGGTTGGTTTTTTCAACTCAAAAATCTGTCTGCCTCTACTTCCCAAGTGCTGGGATTAAAGGCATGTACCGCCACTGCCCGAGATATGGCCTTTCTATATAGTCAAGACTGTCCAAGAACTGGCTGTGTAACCCAGACTAGTCTTCAACTCACAATCCTCCTACCACAGGTAATTACAGGTGTGTGATACCATTTCTAGCCTTCAGTTTTCTTTTTTTCTTTTTGTTTGTTTGTTTGTTTGTTTTTTGTTTTTCGAGACAGGGTTTCTCTATGTAGCCCTGGCTGTCCTGGAACTCACTCGGTAGACCAGGCTGGCCTCAAACTCAGAAATCCGCCTGCCTCTGCCTCCCAAGTGCTGGGATTAAAGGCGTGCGCCACCACTGCCCGGCCAGTTTTTCTTTTTTTAATATTGAAAAAATTATGTGAGCTGGGTGGTAATGGGCATGTTTCCTTAATCCCAGCACTTGGGAGGCAGAGGCGGGCAGATCTCTTGTTTGTTTGAGGCCAGCCTGGTCTACAGAGCAAGTTCCAGGACAGCTAGGGCTATACATAGAAACACTGTCTCAAACAAACAAAACAAAACCCATCCCCCGCAAAGCAACAAAACCAAAATAAACTCTAACATGTATAAGTAGTACCAAGTTCCCAGAAAAACTCTACTAGAATATCCTCCTACTTGAAACACATAAGGCACTAAGTTAGTTTTGTTTTTTCCTGCCATTACCAGGGTTTGGCAGTAACTTTTCTAATTTTTGTCAGTTGAAGAGGTGTAAAGTTTGATGACAGCTTGCTTTGGTTTGCTTTTGTCTTGCTTTAATGAATTTGAGCGTATCCTGTCGTTATCATTTGTGCCCATATACATTTCCTGGCCCCGTCTTCTGCTTGAATCTTAGGTGACAGGCTTTGTGTTGAGCTGTAGAGTTTTCCTATATGTTGTAGCTATTTCTAATTGGCTTCAGATGTCTTGTCATTCCACTAAAATCTTTGTGTTTTGAGAGAAATATTTTTAATGTAACCAAAATAAGTACTGTTTCCTAAAGCTTTCTCTTTCATGTTCTCTTTGAGATACCCTCCCCTACCACAGCCCATGTAGACAGTCTATTATCTTCCGTTCCTATTACCTTTCACTCTTACATCTGTGGTCCATTTTGAACAGTGTGATACAATAGAGATATATAAGCCATATAAGTAATTCATGATAACCTGGGAAAATGGTCTGTGTGTTCAATTCAATAGTGACACATTAATCTAACATCCACAAGGCTCTGGATTTCATACCTAGCCACACAGTGAATAAATACATTAAATACAAATTTCCAGGAAACATCAAGTTATAAAAATGTGAAGTCTATTTTAATATTTTTGACATTTTAACATGAGATCAATATAAAAATTGAGATATTAGAATTCCCCTTGAAGTCCTGAAAATCTGTTATTTCATACCTTCAGCACATCAAAGTTTACACTTGCCACACGTTGGATACTCAGTAGTCCAACGTGGCCAGTGGCTACCATGTGGGTCAACACAAGCAAATCCCACCCTTGTCAGTGGTGGTCAGTAAAAGTGCGAAGTACAAGCCCGTTTACTTCTGCCAGTTTCTCTTCCCACCAGTTTGCAGGGCCAACACTGCTGTTATTTTTGTCCTAACCTTTTCTCGTAGCCTTCAGGGCCCCATTCTATCTCTTTCTTTTCCTCTCTTCCACCAATATTCAAAAGTTTCTTTCCTGAAGACTTGCTTCCTAGCCCTATGCTTGTCCTCGTCTCAATCCCATAGGGAACTCTACCCTGAAGTGGCTTTAGTTGCCACATATTTGTAGAGTCTCATCTGATTCCTTCCTTTTCAGTCACAGTGACTTCTCTACAGGAGATTATCAGTCAGTGGCAAGGTAATAATTCTCCATGAATCCCTCTCACACATAGTAATCTGCTTCTAAACTTCTCAGTTACTGCTTTTCCCCCAAGCCCCATAATCTGAGCTCTCCACAATAACACTCCTATGTGTAACAGGGCAGGTTTCACAGCTGTACTTGAATTATGAGAAAAATGTCTGTGTCCTACTGATTGTTTTGCCTGAGAATGGGCTGTTGCTGTTGTTCTGCTGCATGTGGGGTGACTGAAACCACCTAAGAGAAAAAGGACATCCTTAAGAGAAAGAATACTTATCCTGTGAATAATCTGCTATGCCAGATCTGATGTGTGCAGCCCATTCTGGGGCTGTGTGGTACTAAGTTCCTAGTCTGCATACACCTGGCTCTGCTTGTCTTTGTTTTTACTGATGGTATTCAGGGCTGCTTGGGGTCCCTGGTCAGTTATGCTGAAGACAGTAGTTTCCTGAGTCAAGCATACCCAAGACTTCCAATTTTAATACTTTCTTTTTAAACAGTGCAAAGTTTAAGAACAAATATTTCTCTTCGTCTCTAGAATACATTTTGTGTGTTTATTTATATACTCAGGATATGGCTTTCTAGGGTGAGCTTCTTCTAGAGTTCAGGAGGTGGGAACCTGCCGCTCTTCTGGTTCTGTGGGAAAGACAGAAAGTAGGTGCTCACCTTTCTACTGTTGGCTGAGCAGTAAAGACTATGTTGTGGTAATATCCCTAATATCCCTCACTGCTCCTTATTAAAAATAGCTGAGAGACTTGAGAGTGAGGAAAATTATGGGGGCTAGGAGTGTAGTTTAGTGGTAGAGTGCTTGCCTAGTATGTACAAGGCCCAGGTATCACCCCCAATACTGCAAGAATTTTAACAAAAAAAAAATGTGCACCAGGGAAAGTGACTTGCTTCCTTTTAACATGAATACTGTTAATTATTATCAGCCCAACCCACCGTGGATGTCTTTGGTTTAAACAGAAGCTTAGCATAGGTCAACCCAGTGAAACAGATCGTTATCATGGGGAGACTGGGTAGGGAGTCTCTCAGGATCACACGGATTTTGTGGGCTCAGAAGCTGGGCATACAGTGGGTATCTGACATGCAGGAGAGGCTATGGTCAGGAAAGCAACAACACCAAGAGGCAGTGAGAGAAGCCGAGCTGTTTAATCACCTCCTTGGACAGACTCAAGGATGTGGCTACTCCTGAACACCTCACACTTGGGAGCCACCTAGAGTGGCTGGAGACAAGCAGCCCCTTGAGTCAGAGGGTGAGGCAGGATAGATAGGCAGGGAAGGCTTCTGCGCCTCCGACTTCATCATCTGGCGCTTCTGCCCTCAGGTCCTGCCTGCTTCAGCTCTGAGGGTCCTGGCTGATCCCAGAGGCAAAGAACTGAATGGTGGATGGCACACCCTAGCTGTGATGGCACAATGACCCTGAGGCAGGGACAATGGTTCCCACATAGCCCACATTGAGGGTGACACTATCTGCACCATGGTGGGGGGGATGGAGGTATAAGGCTTGGGAAGAGGTGACAAGGTGGGAAAGTGGTATTAGGGGTTGCCTGGGTCCCACCACCAGTTGAATTAAATAGCAGAAGAGAAGGTTGTGGGGACACTCATTTGTCCCCAGTGACAGTTCCTGGTGATGGGTTGACCTTAGCAGCAGACCCTAGCAGCAGGCAGT